CACACACACACACACACACACACACACACACAGTTGTTGTTGTTTAGAAACTCAAAGTAAAAGGTGTTTACCACAACAGTGCATCAAATCTGTGGTTGTTCATATTAATAACTTGTTACGAGATGGATTTTGTTCCAGATGTTCCAGATGCAGATCTTTGATGATTTAAACAACTAACTGGAGAATAAAATATAATATAACCAGCAGCCAGAGATTTTTCACAGAGACAAATAGTTCTTTTTATGAATGGCCTCTTAACTCATCTGTAAAACATCTTTATATTAACTATTAACCATTAATTTATTTATTTCGGGACATCGCTCATTAATCAGCGTTACTGTAAATGTGCCAGTGTTTCCAGCTGCAGTCCTGAGGCCAGATGTTTCAACAACCGTCAACACAATGAGATTTACAGCGACAACAGCAACAAAGAGAATCATCAAACATGTAAACAAAACAACTGGAGGCAGAGAAACGTTGAGACACTGATACAACAACAAACAAACAAACACGCACAACTTTTAACACACAAGTCTTATTATGGTTATTATGATCATTATTATTATTATAAAGACGTCATGCAGCACAGCATTGGAAGACACAATTATAAAAGAACTTATAAAGTTGTTAATTAACTATTAATTAGTATTTCATGCGTACCCGAGCCATGCAAGAGCCACCCTCCTGGCAACGGGCAAAGGACACTGGGAAATGTAGTCAGCACATAAAACAAGAACAACAACAGTAAAATGAGTCGTGTTCTGTTTAGATTAAGAAGCACTAATAAAGTTCTCAGTTCAAACTTATAAACCTTTCACAGAGGGAACAGTTCATCCTCTCTCTCTCTCTCTCTCTCTCTCTCTCTCTCTCTCTCTCTCTCTCTCTCTCTCTCTCCCTGCTCTTCCGATCATATCCTCATTTTTCTACGTCTGCCCTCTTTTTTCCCGCTCTCCGTCTCTCCGTCCTACTCGCTAATTCAATCACACACACTCACACCTACATCTTCCCTCCTGTGGGTTATCCCCCACGGACGCACACTCTATTACCCAAGATGCACTGCCGTGCTGCGCCTGCCGTTTCATTGGCCAATAAAACAACCTGAGCTTTATGGCTCTACCGATTCCAAGTACATCAAGTACAGGGGGAGAGAGGAGGGGAGGGGAGGGAGGTGACGTGGAGGTAGAGGAGGTAGGAGAGAGAGAGTACGCCTGAGGTTTATGACCCAAAATCCTCCTTTTGAAAGAAAGAGCGAGGGAATGGGCGAGTAGATCAAGCGTGGAGATGGAGAGAGAGATGGAGGGAAACTTAAGGAACTATTGGAGAGAGAGAGAGAGAGGAGAGGGAGAGCAGAAAATACTGAGCACAATGGAACGTGATAAAAGAGAGAGAGTTAGAGGATAAGACAAGAGCAAAGGCAGAGAGAGAGTGAAGCCCATAAAAATACAGAGAACCATTCATGACTTATAAAATAACAGCCGTCGATATGTAGGAGAAAACTGCAGCGTAGATGAAATAGATGATATTTTATTGTTCCAGCCCCTAAGTCCCAGTCCGTATAAATAGCTATTGATTTAACATGTTTTATTCAGCCGGCCAGCTCCAGTCTGAGGCCGAGGAGACGTCAGCTGCGTGTCGAAGGCGAGGCCGCCCGCTCCGTCAGGGGGTTTTAGACCGACGCCTTTCTACTGGCTAAAGGTTTTCTCCCAAGTTCCTCCAGTCTGAGAGGCGTGTCGTGGTCCGTCTGCGCTGCACCCGGGGAGTTTAAGTGTCGGGAAGCGGAGAAGAAGACTCGTTGTCTGTAATGTGCTTCATGAACAAAACTGAATGTTCCTGGACTTCATCTAAACTCGCCGTGAGAATCGGGGTCGTTTTGGCCGGATGAGAGCGACTCGAGAGTCCGACCCTTCTTACCTCTGTTATATCCAGCGCCGTCCTGACAGCAGCGTTATTATATTTAACCCAAACCACTTTATCTAAACCGAACCGAGTCATGACCGTTTCTTATTTTAACCATGGGACACAGGGGCGCTATTCAAGAGACGCGGGGAGGAAACAGACGACCTCTGTGGTCGTTCAGGGCGGAGGACTGGTTGGTTTGTGGCCACATGACAAATGAAAGTCCAGTTTTTTACTCTCATTTGATCTCCTGCTCTCTTTAGCTGCTAAAGTCTCAACTCAGATGGACCAGGTTCTCATCATTAAACCATGATTCTGATGTTCAGGTCAATGCTTCGAATTAAAGACCCCCCCTCAACATCCCCCAGTGTCACATTCAGCAGATCCAACGCATCGACCGCCTGTTATTAAATTGTCTGTTAAACGTCACACAGATCAATGGTGGAGTGGAGGTGACGCCGGCTCTGTACTGCAGGTCTGAGTTTCTCTCCGCTGGAGACTGGAACAAACTGAGCAAATTGACCCGTGGCCACTAAACCGGCCGAGTCCACTTCAATAGTTCTTCTGTTAAAAGAACTGTCGATGTCTGTCGTTATGTTGCTAC